GATGAGGGGAAAAGGGTGAGTGGTGCACTTAGGAGTCTGTGGAGACAAAGAACTTTGTCCTTGGAGGCAAAGAGGGGAATGTACGAGAGGATAGTTTTACCAATGCTCTTATATGGGTGTGAAGCATGGGTGATGAATGTTGCAGCGAGGAGAAGGCTGGAGACAGTGGAGATGTCGTGTCTGAGGGCAATGTGTGGTGTGAATATAATGCAGAGAATTCGTAGTTTGGAAGTTAGGAGGAGGTGCGGGATTACCAAAACTGTTGTCCAGAGTGCTGAGGAAGGGTTGTTGAGGTGGTTCGGACATGTAGAGAGAATGGAGCGAAACATAATGACTTCAAGAGTGTATCAGTCTGTAGTGGAAGGAAGGCGGGGTAGGGGTCGGCCTAGGAAAGGTTGGAGGGAGGGGGTAAAGGAGGTTTTGTGTGCGAGGGGCTTGGACTTCCAGCAGGCATGCGTGAGCGTGTTTGATAGGAGTGAATAGAGACAAATGGTTTTTAATACTTGACGTGCTGTTGGAGTGTGAGCAAAGTAACATTTATGAAGGGGTTCAGGGAAACCGGCAGGCCGGACTTGAGTCCTGGAGATGGGAAGTACAGTGCCTGCACTCTGAAGGAGGGGTGTTAATGTTGCAGTTTAAAAACTGTAGTGTAAGACACCTTCTGGCAAGACAGTGATGGAGTGAATGATGGTGAAAGTTTTTCTTTTTCGGGCCACCCTGCCTTGGTGGGAATCGGCCCAGTGCGATAATAAAAAATAATAATAAGTCTGTTGAGTATACCTGGTAAAGTGTATGGTAGAATTATTATTGAAAGAATTAAAAGTAAGACGGAGAATAGGATAGCAGATGAACAAGGAGGCTTTAGGAAAGGTAGGGGGTGTGTGGGCCAGGTGTATACAGTGAAACATACAGTGGACCCCCGCATAGCGATATTAATCCGTGCAAGAGAGCTCATTGTTATGCGAAATTATCGTTATGCGAATGAATTTTCCCCATAAGAAATAATGGAAATCAAATTAATCCGTGCAAGACACCCCAAAGTATGAAAAAAAAAAAATTTTACCACATGAAATATTAATTTTAATACACACAAACTGAAAAAGGCATGCACAATTACATGACACTTACTTTTATTGAAGATCTGGTGATGATTGATGGGATGGGAGGAGGAGAGAGTGTTAGTGTTTAGAAGGGGAATCCCCTTCCATTAAGACTTGAGGTGTCAAGTCCTTTTCTGGGGTTATTTTCCCTTCTTCTTTTAATGCCACTAGGACCACCTTCAGAGTCACTGGAGTTCTGTCGCACAACATATCTGCCCATAGTGGCCTGTACCTCTCGTTCCCTTTATGATTTCCCCTAAAGTGTTTCACAACATTGTCATTTGTAATAGTCACCAGCACGGCTTGCAATACTGTGTGAGGGTTATTTTCATCCATGAAGGTTTGCACTTCAAGCCACTTTGCACAGATTTCCTTAATCTTTGTAGTAGGCAATTTCTTAAATTTTTCTCTCCCCCCTCCTTCGAACCAGTTTCCTCAGGTCTGGCCTCTTGCTGTGAAGTTGATCTATCAGCTCATCAGTGGTTAGTTTCTTCATTGTCCTCCTCCACCAACTCTTCCACATCATCCCCACTAACCTCCAACCCCAAGGATTTTCCCAATGCCATAATGGATTCCTCAACTGGCATAGGATTCTCAGGGTTAGCCTCAAACCCTTCAAAATCCTTTGGTCTACACATTCTGGCCACAGTTTCTTCCAAACAGAGTTCAAGGTCCTCTTTGTCACTCCCTCCCAAGCCTTACCTATAAGGTTTACACAATTGAGGATATTAAAGTGATCTCTCCAAAAGTTTTCTTAGAGTCAGTTGAGTTTCTGAGGTCAATACAAAGCACCTTTCAAACAGAGCTTTTGTGTACAGTTTTTGAAGTTTGCAATAACCTGCTGGTCCATGGGCTGCAGGAGAGGAGTGGTATTAGGAGGCAAAAACTTCACCTTAAGAATTCATGTCCCCATAAAGTCGCTCTGCCACGTCCCGTAGGATGACCAGGGGCATTGTCTAAAAACCAGGAGGCACTTAAGTTCTAATTTCTTTTCAGTTAGGTAATCTTTCACATTGGGGGGAAATGCATGGTGTAACCATCATAGAAAAAGTCCCCAGTGACCCATGCCTTACTGTTTGCCCTCCACAGCACACACAAATTTTCCTTGAGGACATTCTTTTGCCTAATGGTCTGGGAGTTTCAGAGTGGGTACACTAATAAACGCTTCACTTTGCAATCACCAGTAGCATTGGAACACATCAACAGAGTAAGCCTGTCTTTCATAGGCTTATGTCCTGGGGTGCCTTTTCCTCCTGAGTAATGTAGGTCCTGTTGGCATTTTCTTCCAAAACAGGCCTGTTTCTCACAATTAAACACTTGTTCAGGTTTCAGTCCTTCAGTTTTTATGTATCCTTGAATTCCTGCACATATTTTTCAGTGCTTTGTGGTCCGAACTGGCAGCCTCACCATGCCTTATCACACTATGTATGCCACTACGCCTCTTAAATCTCTCAAACCAACCTTTGCTGGCCTTAATTCACTCACATCATCACTAGTTGCAGGCATTTTTTTAATTAAATCCTGATGCAACTTCCTAGCCTTTTCACTTATGATCACTTGAGATGCTACTCCCGCTATCGTTTTTCATTTATCCAACCAAAAACAGTCTCTCAACATCTTCCATCACTGCGATCTCTGTTTCGAAAAAACGTTAAACCCCTTCGGCAAAAACAGCTTCCTTGATTGCCTTTTTGTTGCCCACAATAGTAGCGATGGTTATTGGGGTTTACTATACAACCGGCCCAGCCGGAACACGCACCCCAAATTTCATACTTATCAGATCTCTTTCTTCATCCTATAGTAATTCTCACCCTTTTCCTGTGGGGTTGGGCACAAGCTTTCTTGGGCCCATGGTCATTTTTTTGAGATAAAATCCCAAAAACACTGTAATAATACGAAATGTTCCAAATTGTATGCTTGGATTTTTACCGCGGAGGCTGGCCCGGTAAAAATGCCACCGGGGAAAATTGAGGTGGTTAAGGGCGCAATTAACGCGTCCGGACGAACAGCGTTGAGCGGGTTTTTTTGGGTATGCGGGCAAACTTGGCGATAAATGTGCGTATGCGGATTTAACGTTATGTAAGGCCAAAAGGGATGCGGGGGTCCCCTGTATAAGTGAAAGTTTTAGATAAGGTAAAGAGGCTTTGTGGGATTTAGGATTTGGAAAAGGGGTATGACAGGGGGGTGGGGGGCATGTGCAGAGCGCAGGTGTATGGTGTAGGAGGTAGGTTACGAAAATAGTGAAGAGTTTTTCGAGGTTATGAGGCTCAAATTAGAGTATGTAGGAAAAGGGAAATTTTTTCCATAAAAGTAGGCCTTAGACAAGGATGTGTGATGTCACCGGGTTGTTTAATATATTTTTAAAATGGGGTTGTAAGAGAAGTAAAAGGAGGGTCTTGGCAAGAGGCATGGATTAAAAGTAAAGAATACACATAAAATGGGGGTTGTACAGTTGCTCTTTTCTGGACACTGTGCTCTTGGAATTTTGAGAGAAGTTTAGAGATTGGGGGATGAATTTGGTAGGGTGTGCAAAAGAAGAAAAATTAAAAAATGTACGGAAAGATAAGGTTATGAATAACAAAAGATTAGGTGATGAAAAATTGGATACAGATTGGAGGAAGAGAGGAGGAGGGATTTGGGAGTGGACGTGTCAGGGAGGGTCTATGAAAAATGAGGTGAATATGAATTGATGAGGGGAAAAAAGGGGGAGTGGTGATTAGGGTTGTGGGGACAAAAAAATTTTTCCTTGGGGCAAGAGGGGAAGTAGAGAGTTAGTTTTACCAAAGTTTATACAGGTGTAAGCTGGTATGAATGTTGCAGGAGGGGAAGGCTGGAGGCAGGGAGATGTCATGTCTAGGGAAGTTGGTTTTTGGAAAATAAAGCGAGAATTGTATTTGGAATTTGGAGGGGGGGTGCGGATTACCAAAACTGTTGTCCAGAGGGCTGAGGAAGGGTTGTTGAGGTGGTTCGGACATGTAGAGAGAATGGAGCGAAACAGAGTGACTTCAAGAGTGTATCAGTCTGTAGTGGAAGGAAGGCGGGGTAGGGGTCGGCCTAGGAAAGGTTGGAGGGAGAGGGTCAAGGAGGTTTTGTGTGCTAGGGGCTTTGACTTCCAGCAAGCATGCATGGGCGTGTTTGATAGGAATGAATGGAGACAAATGGTTTTTAATATTTGACGTGCTGTTGGATTATGAGCAAAGTAACATTTATGAAGGGGTTCAGGGAAACCGGCAGGCCAGACTTGAGTCCTGGAGATGGGAAGTACAGTGCCTGCACTCTGAAGGAGTGGTGTTAATGTTGCAGTTTAAAAACTGTAGTGTAAAGCACCCTTCTGGCAAGACAGTGATGGAGTGAATGATGGTGAAAGTTTTTCTTTTTCGGGCCCCCCTGCCTTGGTGGGAATTGGCCAGTGTGATAATAAATAATAAAATGTTAGATAGCAGTAAATGGAGACGAATGGTTTTTGGGACTTGACGAGCTGTTGGAGTGTGAGCAGGGTAATATTTAGTGAAGGGATTCAGGGAAACCAGTTATTATAGAGTTAGCTTGACTTGAGTCCTGGAAATGGAAAATACAATGCCTGCACTTTAAAGAAGGGGTCTAGGATATTGACAGTTTGGAGGGACTTCTAAACTATCATATCTGAGCACCTCTGCAAAGACAGTGATTATGTATGAGTGAGGTGAAAGTGTTGACTGATGATGAAAGTATTTTCTTTTTAGGGATTTTCTTTCTTTTTGGGTCACCCTGCCTCGGTGGGAGGCGGCCAACTTGGTGATGAAAAAAAAAAAAAACTTGAGTACAAAAAAGTACAGGTATTCGATAAAGCCCCACTGTGTGTTAAACACTGTATAATACAGACTTTCCATGTTAAGTGTCTTGGAAATTATTGCTTCTTACCTGACTCTGACCCCATCCTAAGGCCGACCCACACAGACTTGTAGAAGGTGTGGTCACTCATGCCAGGCAATCTGTCATCAGATATAGTGTTAAGTGATTCCTGAACACATTTTTGTTTTGTTGCATAGACTATTTTCATCCACCAATAGGGTGATTCAAAGAAAATGCATTTACTGTCACTCATTCAATAGCTATCTTCCCAGATAGTTTATAAAAACAATAAAATAGTTCACATATTATGTTAGGTTCGTACTGCATTTCAACATAAATATTCACTGCTCTCAAAATCACACTTTCCTTACCTCCATCATTCAATGTTAATGGTTTTCATATGACCTGATGCTCCTTACAAATAATAAATTATATTGAGTTTGATTGGATGGAGAGTTTGATCTCTTCTTCTGTAGATTTGTTATTATGAGACGACTCTAGAGTGAGGATAGAGCACACATGCCTCACAACCACCTGCCTGTGAGTGCACTTGCACATCTTTCTCTAACTTTTGGTAGGATGCAGACTGTGCTACATTAAATTTTCATAAACTTCAATATTTCTATTTCAGTCTCATTTCTTTTACAATACAGACGTACCTATAACAATCTATCAGAAATTTGGAAGGATCCTTTTAATATAAACAAGTTGATATGATTTTTAACTGATGCAAGATATTTTAATCTAAGGTAAATGGTTTTTTATTTATGTTGTAGTACTTGTTTGTGTGCATGGATATTATTTTTTGGGTTACTTTTATCTTTTTAGGATAATTAAATAACCTGCTGACCATTACGCTTTCTCTAGATCTCTTATAAACATGCTATTCATTCGTTGCACACATCCAAAACTTTATAACAAACCATTTACATTATAAACCATCATATACAGGTGGGTCCCTGCTTTACATTGCATTTGCTAATGCAGCAGTTTTCAATTATACCCATTCTGCCTACAATAAATATATTCACCGTTCACTATAAGCTAAGGACGAAAATATTTTAAGGTAAGTAATGTGTGTACTGTACATGCATATTTTAAGCCTAGCTCTATTGCTCACTTAATATATGATAGCGTAAGCAAGTTATCAGGTTTTTATGTGCATTTGAAAATGAACAATAACAACAACAACAAAAAAGGCTATGTTTAACTTCACAGTGATTTTCACTTTACAACAGTAGCCTAGAACCTAACTTGCTGTATAAGTGGGGCACTCCTGTACAAACATTCCTCTCTTCAACATAACAAAATTTGTATTTTATTTATCCTCATCCACCTTACCCAAATATCATCTGACATTTTTAACGTGATTTAAAATTTACCATCATGATGCTCTCTTATTAACCTTGAAATTCCATAAATTATTATATTTTTTGAAGTATTTAAACCAGTTTATTCTACAACAATTCATCCTATGAGAGTGAAAAGACAGTGTTACACATAAATACAAAATTGGCAATACCAGTTCAGTAGAAGGATTGTCTCACTAACAGTAGCAGATCAAAGAAAAGATTTACACAAGGAGATATTAATGGCTACAACCACCAGCAGCTATAAAAACTTCATAAGACTTAATACAGTAGATGGGACATCACAAGTTAATTTCAGCTCCTGTAGCTACAAATAAGTAATCAATATGCGGTTAATGGCGTTTTACTAAGTTTTGTCCGCAACAGATTTTGTCAATTCTCACTTGAAAGAAGATCCTAAGTACGGTTTAAGTTCCTGGTGGATGAAACGTTTTCTCAATAAAATGCCATAAATCACATATTTTGTCTTATTAACATACTTGCTGGTATATTAACCCTTAAACTGTCCAAGCAGATCTACGTTCATATGTGTAATGCTCCAAAAGTAGATCTACCTTTTTTTACATATTTTCAAATACAGTGGACCCCCGCATAACGATATTAATCCGTTCATGAGAGCTCATTGTTATGCGAAATTATCGTTATGCGAATGAATTTTCCCCATAAGAAATAATGTAAATCAAATTAATCCGTGCAAGACACCCAAAAGTATGAAAAAAAATTTTACCACATGAAATATACATTTTCCTACACACAAAGAGAAGGATACATGCACAATAGTAGAGTAGTACATGCACAATATATATTATGCATGTACTACTCTACTAAATGAAGAATAAATGACACTTACCTTTATTGAAGATGCAGCAATGACTGACGAGACACTGTGTCCTGGGAGTGCCTTTTCCTCCTGAGTACTGTAGGTCCTGTTTGGCATTTTCTTCCAGAACAGGCCTTATCACACTGTATGTCACTACGATTCTTAAATCTCTCAAACCAACCTTTGCTGGCTTTAAATTCACCAACATGAGCACTAGTTCCAGGCATTTTTCCCTGTTCATCTGGGTGTTAGTTGACTGGTGTGGGTTGCATCCTGGGAGACAAGATTAAGGACCCCAATGGAAATAAGTTAGAGTCCTCGATGATGCACTGACTTTCTTGGGTTATCCTGGGTGGCTAACCCTCCGGGGTTAATTGTTTCTCGGTAATTGTTTCACGTTAAGCCACACCAACAACACTCTCTCCACATCATCGAGTAATACAGCTGATGGTGGTGCAGCAACAACAGCTGTGGTGCAGCTGACCATGGTGCAGCAGCAACTGGCTGCAGCAACAGCTGACCATGGTGCAGCTGCAGCTGTGGTGCAGCAGCAGCTGTGGTGCAGCAGCAGCTGACTGTGGTACGATAGTATTTATCACCCTTTTTACCACAGGGTTGGCACTAGAAGCTTTCTTTGGGCCCATGGTGGCTTATTTAGCAGTTACAAGCACTATAAATAATGGAATAATACAAAATGTATCGAATGTATGCATGCAACCGGCCACCCTGGCTTGTAAACAATGACGGCAAGGCAGGCGCTCAGGCTGGATGGACAGGTTCGGGATGAGTCATGTTCAGAGACAGCTGATGGTGCAACAGCAGCTAATCGTGGTGCAGCAGCAGCTGACTGGTCCAGCAACAGCTGACTGGTCCAGCAACAGCTGACTGGTCCAGCAACAGCTGACTGCTCCAGCAACAGCTGACTGCTCCAGCAACAGCTGACTGATCCAGCAACAGCTGACTGGTCCAGCAACAGCTGACTGGTCCAGCAACAGCTGACTGGTCCAGCAACAGCTGACTGGTCCAGCAACAGCTGACTGGTCCAGCAACAGCTGACTGATCTAGCAACAGCTGACTGATCCAGCAACAGCGATTCTTAAATCTCTCAAACCAACCTTTGCTGGCTTTAAATTCACCAATATGAGCACTAGTTCCAGGCGTTTTTCCCTGTTCACCTGGGTGTTAGTCGCCTGGTGTGGGTTGCATCCTGGGAGACAAGATTAAGGACCCCAATGGAAATAAGTTAGACAGTCTTCGATGACACACTTTTTTGGGTTATCCTGGGTGGCTAACCCTCTGGGGTTAATTGTTTCTTGGTATTCTCAATAAGCCACACCAACAACGGTGCTACAGCAGCAGCAGCAGCAGCAGCAGCAGCAGCTGACAGTGCTACAGCAGCAGCAGCAGCAGCAGCAGCAGCTGACAGTGCTACAGCAGCAGCAGCTGACAGCGCTACAGCAGCAGCAGCAGCAGCTGACAGTGCTACAGCAGCAGCAGCAGCAGCTGACAGTGCTGCAGCAGCTGACAGTGCTACAGCAGCAGGAGACGATGCTACAGCAGCAGCAGACGGTACTACAGCAGCAGCAGCAGCAGACGGTACTACAGCAGCAGCAGCAGCAGCTGATGGTGGTACAGCAGCAGCAGCAGCTGACAGTGCTACAGCAGCACCAGCAGCTGACAGTGCTACAGCAGCAGCAGCAGCTGACAGTGCTACAGCAGCAGCAGACAATGCTACAGCAGCAGCAGACGGTACTACAACAGCAGCAGCAGCAGCTGACGGTGGTACAGCAGCAGCAGCAGCTGACGGTGCTACAGCAGCAGCAGCAGCTGACAGTGCTACAGCAGCAGCAGCAGCAGCATCAGCAGTTGACCATGGTACCACAGTATTTCGATAATATTTCTCACCCTTTTTACCACAGGGTTGGCACTAGAAGCTTTCTTGGGGCCCATGGTCACTTATTTTGCAGATAAAATCACCAAAAACACTGTAATAATACGAAATGTTACGATTGCATGCTTGGATGTTACCGCGGAGGCTGGCTTGTAAACAATGCCACCGGCGGAACATGTGAGGCTGCTCAGGCCTCACATAGACGTGTCTCGGACGAACAGCGTTGAGCGGATTTTTAGCGGTATACGAGGCAAAATCTTAGCGATAAAATGTATCGGTATGCGGATTTAACGTTATGTAAGGCCAACGGTATGCGGGGGTCCACTGTATACAAAAAAAAAAATGTAGATCAAAGTTTTTTTACATGTTTTCAAATGTAAAAAAAAAAAAAAAAAAACCTACTTTTTTTACATACTTTCAAATGTTGAAAAAATGTAGATCTATGTTTGGACAGTTTAAGGGTTAAGCACTGATTTTCAATAAGGAAATACAGTGGACCCCCGGTTAACGATATTTTTTCATTCCAGAAGTATGTTCAGGTGCCAGTACTGACCGAATTTGTTCCCATAAGGAATATTGTGAAGTAGATTAGTCCATTTCAGATCCCCAAACATACACGTACAAACGCACTTACATAAATACACTTACATAATTGGTCGCATTTGGAGGTGATCGTTAAGCGGGGGTCCACTGTAATTCAGGAACAATAAATAAGTGAAGTTAAAGATGGCTTACTGTTGAATGATTGTTTCCTCCTCGGCACTTCCCACGCTAGCAAGATGGCCACCCATAGACATACAGAACTCCTCTCCCTGGCCCCATGACATCGCATCAGACACCACCTGGCATGCAATTCAAACTGTTAATACCATCACTCATCAGCCAAGAAATTAATAGCTTTTATATTTAAAAACAGTCACATAACTTTGACTGGAGCAATCATGCCTTCACAAGCTTAAAATATCAACTAGAAACACAAGCTTTACCTATGTAGACGAAGTTCCTGGAATACACTATATAGCAAATGCTGATAAACAGTAATAAAATTGTTCATTCACATTGTGTGAGTACAGTTAGGTAGTGTATTTGAATCTCAGTTCGTGAGCAGAAGACTGAGTCTCCAGGGCACCTTCAGCTGAATTCCCCAAACAGGCTTAGCATTCCATGTGGAAAAAGATACTTATGTACAGTCCCGAACATTTATTATAGCCACAAGTATTAGGACTAAAGAAGGCACGAGTGGCTTCTTTAGCCCTAATACAGAGATAACTTAGAAACAAGCATATATAGCGGCAGGAGTCAGCTGGAAAACTGCGAGGTTAGTATAGTACAATTGTTGTGAGATGGGTTGGGTTTGAGAAGGGCCTGTCAACATCAAACAAAACAAACATTTTATTTCCTTGTGCAGTATAAAAAATGTAGTTTACATGCAATAAAATCCTAGGTAGTAGGCTGGTAGACAGCAACTGCCCAGGGAGTTACTACTGTGTTGCCAAGTGAGTGTGAAACAGAAGCCTGTCATTGTTTTACATGATGGTAGGATTGCTGGTGTCTTCTATCTGTCTCATAAACATGCAAGGCTTCAGGTATATTTTGTTACTTCTACTTATATTTAGGTTACACTACACATGCATGTACAAGCATATATATATATATATACACACTCGTCTGGGTTTTCCTCTATTTTCTTACTAGTTCTTGTGGGGAAGTGGTACAGAATTCTTCCTCTGTAAGCCATGTGTGTTGTAAGAGGCTACTAAAATGCTGGGAGCAAGGGGCTAGTAACCCCCTTCACCTGTATATATTATAAAATTTAAAAGGAAAAACTTTTGCTTTTCCTTTTGGGCCACCTTGCTTTGGTAGGGATATGGCCGGTTTGTTGAAAGAAGAAAATATGTAATAAAATATTAAGCACAAAAGAAAGCCACTAGCATGCATGTGCATTTCAGGCAAACTAATCCTAATACTTACAGACTACTTAAGACTAGACATAGTTATTGAGTAGTATAATTATAAATCTTTCTTTCAACAAACCGGTCGTATCCCACCAAGGCAGGGTGGCCCAAAAAAGAAAAATGAAAGTTTCTCTTTTTAAATTTAGTAATTTATACAGAAGAAGGGGGTTACTAGTCCCTTGCTCCCGGCATTTTAGTTGCCTTTTACAACACGCATGGCTTACGGAGGAAGAATTCTGCTCCACTTCCCCATGGAGATAAGAGGAAATAAACAAGAACTAGAAAGAAAATAGAAGAAAACCTAGAGGGGTGTGTATATATATGCTTGTACATGTATGTGTAGTGTGACCTAAGTGTAAGTAGAAGTAGCAAGATGTACCTGAAATCTTGCATGTGTATGAGACAAAAAAAAAGACACCAGCAATCCTTCCATCATGTAAAATAATTACAGGCTTCCGTTTTACACTCGCTTGGCAGGACAGTAGTACCTCCCTGGGCGGTTGCTGTCTACCAACCTACTACCTAGGATAATTAAATATTTTTTTTTTTTTTTAACAAGTTGGCCATCTCCCACCGAGGCAGAGTGACCAAAAAAAGAAAGAAAATCCCCAAAAAGAAAATACTTTCATCATTCAACACTTTCACCTCACCCACACATAATCACTGTTTTTGCAGAGGTGCTCAGAACACAACAGTTTGGAAGCATATATGTATAAAGATACACAACATATCCCTCCAAACTGCTAATATCCCAAAACCCCTCCTTTAGAGTGCAGGCATTGTACTTCCCAATTTCAGGACTCAAGTCCAGCTATATAAAAATAACTGGTTTCCCTGAATCCCTTCACTAAATATTACCCTGCTCACACTCCAACAGATCGTCAGGTCCCAAATACCATTCGTCTCCATTCACTCCTATCAAACACGCTCATACATGCCTGCTGGAAGTCCAAGCCCCTCGCCCACAAAACCTCCCTTACCCCTTCCTTCCAACCTTTTTGAGGATGATCCCTACCCCACCTTCCTTCTCCTACAGATTTAAATGCTCTCCATGTCATTCTACTTTGATCCATTTTTTCTAAATGACCAAACCACCTCAACAACCCCTCTTCAGCCCTCTTGACTAATACTTTTATTAACTCCACACCTTCTCCTAATTTCCACACTCCGAATTTTCTGCATAATATATAATATATATATAGGTAGTAGGTTGGTAGACAGCAACCGCCCAGGGAGGTACTACCGTCCTGCCAAGTGAGTGTAAAACGAAAGCCTGTAATTGTTTTACATGATGGTAGGATTGCTGGTGTCCTTTTTTCTGTCTCATGAACATGCAAGATTTCAGGTACGTCTTGCTACTTCTACTTACACTTAGGTCACACTACACATACATGTACAAGCACATATATACACACCCCTCTGGGTTTTCTTCTATTTTCTTTCTAGTTCTTATTCTTGTTTATTTCCTCTTATCTCCATGGGGAAGTGGAACAGAATTCTTCCTCCGTAAGCCATGCGTGTTGTAAGAGGCGACTAAAATGCCGGGAGCAAGGGGCTAGTAACCTCTTCTCCTGTATATATTACTAAATGTAAAAGGAGAAACTTTTGTTTTTCCTTTTGGGCCACCCCACCTCAGTGGGATACGGCCGGTGTGTTGAAAGAAAGAATATAATATATAAAGGGAAAGGGGACAAAAGAGATTGTAAAAATCATAGAGGAATAAGTTTACTGAGTATACCAGGAAAAGTATACGGTAGGGTTATAATTGAAAGAATTAGAGGTAAGACAGAATGTAGAATTGCGGACGAGCAAGGAGGCTTCAGAGTGGGTAGGGGATGTGTAGATCAAGTGTTTACATTGAAGCATATATGTGAACAGTATTTAGATAAAGGTAGGGAAGTTTTTATTGCATTTATGGATTTAGAAAAGGCATATGATAGAGTGGATAGAGGAGCAATGTGGCAGATGCTGCAAGTATATGGAATAGGTGGTAAGTTACTAAATGCTGTAAAGAGCTTTTATGAGGATAGTGAGGCTCAGGTTAGGGTGTGTAGAAGAGGGAGAATACTTCCCAGTAAAAGTAGGTCTTAGACAGGGAAGTGTAATGTCACCATGGTTGTTTAATATATTTATAGATGGGGTTGTAAAAGAAGTAAATGCAAGGGTGTTCGGGAGAGGGTGGGATTAAATTATGGGGAATCAAATTCAAAATGGGAATTGACACAGTTACTTTTTGCTGATGATACTGTGCTTATGGGAGATTCTAAAGAAAAATTGCAAAGGTTAGTGGATGAGTTTGAGAATGTGTGTAAAGGTAGAAAGTTGAAAGTGAACATAGAAAAGAGTAAGGTGATGAGGGTATCAAATGATTTAGATAAAGAAAAATTGGATATCAAATTGGGGAGGAGGAGTATGGAAGAAGTGAATGTTTTCAGATACTTGGGAGTTGACGTGTCGGCGGATGGATTTATGAAGGATGAGGTTAATCATAGAATTGATGAGGGAAAAAAGGTGAGTGGTGCGTTGAGGTATATGTGGGGTCAAAAAAACGTTATCTATGGAGGCAAAGAAGGGAATGTATGAAAGTATAGTAGTACCAACACTCTTATATGGATGTGAAGCTTGTGGTGGTAAATGCAGCAGCGAGGAGACGGTTGGAGGCAGTGGAGATGTCCTGTCTAAGGGCAATGTGTGGTGCAAATATTATGCAGAAAATTCGGAGTGTGGAAATTAGGAGAAGGTGTGGAGTTAATAAAAGCATTAGTCAGAGGGCAGAAGAGGGGTTGTTGAGGTGGTTTTTGGTCATTTAGAGAGAATGGATCAAAGTAGAATGACATGGAAAGCATATAAATCTATAGGGGAAGGAAAGAGGGGTAGGGTCGTCCTCGAAAGGGTTGGAAAGAGGGGGTAAAGGAGGTTTTGTGGGCGAGGGGCTTGGACTTCCAGCAAGCGTGCATGAGCGTGTTAGATAGGAGTGAATGGAGACGAATGATACTTGGGACCTGACGATCTGTTGGAGTGTGAGCAGGGAAATATTTAGTGAAGGGATTCAGGGAAACCGGTTATTTTCATATAGTCGGACTTGAGTCCTGGAAATGGGAAGTACAATGCCTGCACTTTAAAGGAGGGGTTTGGGATATTGGCAGTTTGGAGGGATATGTTGTGTATCTTTATACGTATATGCTTCTAAACTGTTGTATTCTGAGCACCTCTGCAAAAGCAGTGATAATGTGTGAGTGTGGTGAAAGTGTTGAATGATGATGAAAGTATTTTCTTTTTGGGGATTTTCTTTCTTTTTTGGGTCACCCTGCCTCGGTGGGAGACGGCCGAAGTGTTGAAAAAAAAAAAAATATATATATTATTATATATATATATAATATATATATATATATATATATATATATATATATATATATATATATATATATAATATATATATATATATATACATGTATGCAATAAGATCTGGAATGAAAAAAATATTGTTAACCAGGGGTCCACTTTATTTTGAATTTTTATTCAAACAAAAAATAGAAGATTTACTGTTATGCAGACTACTGCAATATTGTAATAATTGTATAAATACTGTCAACCCATTCATGACTGCATATTAGAATGGCTAGTTGGACATTTATTGGACAATGACATCATTTGTTTACTTTTGAAAATCGGCAAAAATCAAACATTTCCCCTACTTTGAGCTCCAAATCAAGGTTCTTTTCATAATAAAACCAATCAAAATCACCTCTATTTCTATATGTTCTCCATTCTATCAAGTGAGACCAAGAAAATGAGAATACAACCATAAATACTATACAAAAATACACCACAAAGTCGGCTTTTTAATAAAAAAAAACGGTTGGAGTTTTTTTTCTCATGCACTGCGTGCTGCAGGATATTTTTCATATGGTGCACACTGACCACACATACCCATTCTCTCACATGTGGGCCTACCAGCTTTCTCCTGCTTGATTTGAAGCCGCTATAATTTTTGAGTACAGTGGTCCCTCGTTTTTCATAATTAATCCGTTCCTGGAGGAGCTACTACAAACGAAATTTACGATTTGCGAATCAATTTTCCCCATAAGAAATAATGTAAATACAATTAATCCGTTCCTGACACCCAGAAGTATTAAAACAAAAAAAATTTTTACATGAAATATACATATAGTACATAAACAATACAATGGGAAATGATGAATGAAACATTAACAGTGTAACACTTACCTTTATTGGAGATTCTTCTTAGTGTATGGGAGACTGGAGGAGGAGAGAGATTGGATTGTTTACAGTTTGGAAGGGGAATCCCCTTCCAGCAACAGCTCAGGTACCATTTGCTTTTTTGGGGTTGCTTCTCTTCTCTGTTTCTTAATGCCACTAGGACCACCTTGAGAGTCACTCTAGTCCTGTCTTGCAAAGTAACTGTGGAGAGAGTTCTGTTTCTGGCGTCTCTTTAACACTTCCCTAAAATAGCCCAAGACTTTGTCACTGTACACGTTTCTCACCTTCTTTACCACAGGCTTGGCACTAGGAGCTTTCTTTGGAGCCATGGTAGCTCATTTAGTAATTGCAAGCACTAAAATGAGTGGAATATTATGAAATATTTCGTAGGAGCACTTGAGGGGACCACTCACTGGTAAACAATGCCAGACTGGCTGGGTAGGGAGGCCGCCCGGGCTCACACCGTGCGTATGCGTCCTGGACGAACTACTATTCGCGAGTCAACCTATGAAAAGCAAGTCCATGTTTATACGAAAATACCCCTATGATTGGCGAAATTTACGATTGCCGAGAACTACGAAAAGCGAGGGACCACTGTATATATATGTCAAACACGGTGGCTCGTAAGACGTTTATATACAACCGAAACAGGGGTTTTGACAGTCAAGGGTTAACCCTTGACTGTCAAAACCCCAAATCCTGAGGTGTCTTCTGGTGTCGAAAAATTAAAAAAAAAAAAATAATAATAATTTTTTCTTACGAAATGATAAGAGAATCTTTTCCAGATGGTAATGACACCAAAAGAACGAAATTTGATGGAAAACTTATAGAATTACGCTCTTGTGAAGTTAGCGACCTCAGCAATATTTACGAATTGGCGATTTCACCCACTTTGAGCCCTAGTTTTGGCTAATTCCATTGTTTCAGTCGACCAAACTCATAGCTATTTCTTTAGAACTCCATTTGTTCTATCAATTGAGTACAAGAAACTGCCCATTTACCAATTTCAACTACCCAATAACATGGTCAGAAATTTGCAATTTGGCCAATTTCATCCAAATTAAAAAATATGACAATTTCAAAATAGGGTCCAGAATGAACAATACAGACATTTCTGGCTCTAAAATAACATTTTCTTTGTTCATCAGTCACGTCTCCAGGCCCCTCTGATATTACTTTTGCTTTCTATTTTGAATTTTTTTTCAAACAAAAAATAGAAGATATACTGTTATGCAGACTACTGCAATATTGTAATAATTGTATAAATAATGTCAACTCATTCATGACTGCATATTAGAATGGCTAGTTGGACATTTGTTGGACAATGACGTCATTTGTTTACTCTTGAACATTGGCAAAAATCAAACATTTCCCCTACTTTGAGCTCTATTTCTATAATATGTTTTCCATTTTATCAAATGAGACCAAGAAAACGAGAATACAGACATAAATACTATATGAAAATACACCACAAAGTCGGCGTTTTAATCCAAAAAACGGTCGGAGGTTTTTTTTTCTCATTATGTACTGCGTGCTGCAGGATTTTTTTTATATGGTGCACACTGATCACACAGATCCATTCTCTCACATGTGGGCCTACCAGCTTTCTCCTGCTTGATTTGAGGCCGCTAGAATTTTTGAGTATATATACATCAAACACTGTGGCTCGTAAGACGTGTATGTATGACCAAAACAGTCAAAGATTTAATAATGATAATAATATTAACACACAATAATAATCACTCTGAGGAGCATTAAATATTGTATAAAACGTTAATATAGACAAAAATTTTGCTTAATCCATCTAAATACACCCCACAGTAGAATAAATTAGCATAAATATGAGATGTGGTTAAAGGTAGTAGGTTGGTAGACAGCAACCACCCAGGGAGGTACTACCGTCCTGCAAAGTGAGTGTAAAACGAAAGCCTGTAATTGTTTTACATGATGGTAGGATTGCTGGTGTCTTTTGTCTGTCTCATAAATATGCAAGATTACAGGTATGTCTTACTACTTCTACTTACACGTAGGTCACACTACACATACGTGTACAAGCATATATATACACACACCCCTCTGGGTTTTCTGCTATTTTCTTTCTAGTTCTTGTTCTTGTTTATTTCCTCTTATCTCCATGGGGAAGTGAAACATAATTCTTCCTCCGTAAGCCATGCGTGTTGTAAGAGGCGACTAAAATGCTGGGAGCAAGGGGCTAGTAACCCCTTCCCTTGTAAATATTACTAAATGTAAAAGGAGAAACTTTCGTTTCTCCTTTTGGGCCACCCCGCCTCGGTGGGATACGGCTGGTGTGTTGAAAGAAAGAAAGATGAGATGTGGTAGCCATGTGACTTGTAGGACTTGTGGTAGCCAGGCAACTTGTAGGACTTGTGGTAGCCAGGCAACTTGTAGGACTTGTGGTAGCCAGGCAACTTAGTAGGACTTGTGGTAGCCAGGCAACTCGTAGGACTTGTGGTAGTCAGGCAACTCGTAGGACTTGTGGTAGTCAGGCAACTGTAGGACTTGTGGTAGCCAGGTGACTTGTAGTCCAACATCAGAGAAAATGTGTACAATATAATGTTACTGGGGGTAACTGGAAAATTATTCCTTTCGTATGCCTTCACTCAGGACGTCATTTCTTCTAAATATGGTGTTACATGAGAATGGGAGTGTTTCTCTTTATTTATTCTACTGTATCAACATGGAGACAACTTGTACACAATGGAAAGTGACGAAAACCAGACATGTTCACCTGGCTTGTTTACATTATGTGTGGGTGGAGTGGGGAGGGCTGTCCTGGCTGGCTACCTTACCTCCAAAACCTGACTTCCTACAAATTAAACTTACCTCTCACCCTACATTAAGACCACAAATATTTTAAGGTAAGTAATGGGTGTACTGTTTGTGTATTTTACTCTTTTGTTTTTAATGCCTAGTTCTACTGCTAACATAATATATATTAGTGTAAACTTGTTATCTGGCATTTTTATGCATTTATAAGTGGAAAAAATGGTGTTCTGCTTTCTGGTGATGTCTGCTTTTCAGCAGTAGCCTGGAACCTAACCTGCCATGTAAGTGGGGCCCTACTGTATGTAATAATGCACTAAATATACAGAAAAGGATGCTGATAAACTCCATGTCTGCCATACCTGATAACAATGTTCATCCTTGAGAGTCCAGCCATAGGCACAAAAGTCACTAGGAGCGAGGGTGGTTGGCACAGGTGGGGTAGTGTACCCACTCCGATCATACTCACCTGCAGGAGAAACTTATCATATAACAAGGTATGGGGAGTGGATGAGGTAGTGCAGTGTATGCATGCTTGTGTGTGTGTGGTTGTGTGTGTGTACTTGTAGGTAATGTCACTGACCCCATGATCAATAGCATGATATGGAAATAAATGGTAAAAAATGCCGACACAATGGAAATATAAACACATATGCAGTTTAATGTGATCCTTTATTGACAACGTTTCGCCCACATGGTGGGCTTTTTCAAGTCACAAACACTTGGGGTGGAAGGTACGCGAGTGTTTATAGTCAGGTTCAGAATGTTGAGGTCAGGTGGAGAATGCTGCATCTGATGATCTACCGAGTGGGGTTATAGAGTCCAAAATCTTGGGTAGCTTGGAAGGGAGATTGGATAAGTTTGTGAGCAGACCTTCTGCAGTGTTCTTCCTTTCCTATATTCTTATGTGGGATAGCGATGAAGGAGTTTCTTGGCAAGTGGTTCAGCTATGTTATAGAAGCCATTGTTCTGGTTGAAATTGTTGGTTAGAGAGATAAGTGATGATTCCAGGATTCTTCGGTATTGAGTGTTGTCTTCTGTGGCGATAAGTCTTGAGTTTCTGTAGTTAATTAAATGGTTGTGTGAATTGCGGTGTTGTACACAGGCATTCCTTGTTTCGTCAGACCTGCTTGCGTACTGGTGTTCTGAAATACGTGTTTGGAGGTTTCTTGATGTTTCACCCATGTATAATTTGCTGCAGTCATTACAAAGGAATATGTATACCCCTGCAGAGGATGGAAGCTTGTCCTGTCTGTTACTGGTAATGTTCTTGATGGTCGTGGTTGTAGAGGTAGATACTTGGAATGAGGTATTGGAAAAGATGTTGGAAACATGTTTGGCAATGGAGTTGGTGGGGAGGACTATGTATCTTCTCGGTAGTGTCTTCTCTGGGTGTGTTGAAGATGTTTAATGCCCGCCGTCTGCAGTCTCTGATGAAGTGACGAGGATAGTGGAGTTTAGAAAACACTTGTTCGATTATAGTGCATTCTTCCTCAAGGAACTCATTGCTGCAGATTCTGAGTGTGCGCAGGAAGAAGCCTATAATTTCACCACGTTTAGTTTTGGTGTCGTGGTGAGAGTAGAAGTGGAGAAGATCGTTTTGGTTGGTGGGTTTTCGATAGACTTTAAAACGAAGTTCATGGTCAGCTTTGCAGAGAAGAACATCAAGGAAAGGAAGAGTGTTGTCGACTTCTTCTTCAAGTGTGAACTGGATTGAGGGCTCGACCTGGTTGAGCTTGTCTTGGAGAGCTTGAACGTTGAAGCATCTGGGAGTTATGAGGAGAATGTCGTCAACATAACGGAGCCAGGTGACAGTCGAAGGAATAATGGTGGAGAAACGTTCGGCTTCCAGATGTTCCATGTATAAGTTCGCCAGGACGGCACTGAGTGGCAAACCCATGGGTAGTCCAAAAGTCTGCTAAAAGAGGTGATTTTCGAAAGAGAAACACGTAAAGCCAACACACAGTTCAACAAGGTCGATGAAATCGCTGGCTGGAATAGGAAGATCATGTGAATAGTCAATTTTCCTGCACAGGAGATCGATGGCTTGTGTAGTAGGTACTTTGGTGAATAGGGAAGTTACGTCAAGGCTGGAAAGTTTCTTGTTCCTGATGTTGATGTTGCGAATGCGATTGAGAAGATCACCCGAGTGTTTGAGATGTGCTGGACTGATAGTGCCCAAGAGTTTAGAGAGGTGTTTTGCGAGAATTCCTGAACCTGACTATAAATACTCGCGTACCTTCCACCCCAGGTAGATCTGTGACTTGAAAAAGCCCACTGTGTGGGCGAAACGTTGTTAATAAAGGATCACATTAAACTGCATATGTGTTTATATTTCCAACAGCATGATATACCTTGCATGACATATGAATATGACTATACAATGGAACTTCGGCTTACGAATTTAATCCGCTCCGTGACCTTGTTCATATCCCAATTTGTTCGTATGCTGAGTCAATTTTCCTCATTTAAATTAACTGAAATGGCATTAATCCATTCCTGCTTTGTGAAGCCCTATGATTTGAGTTAATATCAACTCTACAGTTTATTTATATATCACAATTCATCTAATTTCACCATCACTCAAGGAATGCACAACAGATGCATAATTGTCAATGTTCAGCATTTCCTCGATGTCAGTTTCCTGTAATTCCATTAGCACATAGTCAAGATGAATAAATAGAATTGTCAATGCTTATTGCTTGGGTACGTTTATTCTGTTAGTGGGTTAGATATTTGAAAGACCTGCCTAGTATGGGCCAACAGGCCTACTGCAGTGTCCATCCTTTATGTTGATGAGTGGAACAATCTGCACAGTATGGTTATTGAGGCTAAAACCTTGGGTAGTTTCAAATTTGTGTTGGATAAATACATGAGTGAGAAGGGTTGGATTTGAGTGGGACTTGCACCCGAGCTTTTTCTTGGGTAGCATTTGTTCTGTTAGTGGGTTGGATTTGAGAAGGACCTGCCTAGTATGGGCCAGCAGGCCTGTTGCAGTGTTCCTCCTTTCTTATGTTCTTATGTTGTGTTGGATAAATACTTAACTCAGTGGTGACCTGTACTTAACTCTGTGAAGAAGTGTCTTGTGTGCTCTCCGTGGACTGAACCAAGATGCCCTCCATTGAGCAACTTTACCAGCAGCTTAAGGAAGAATTGAGAATAGCGAAGATGGAGATACGGCGATTGACCGAGGAAAACAAGAGAATTCATAGTAGTCCTCCTATTTTGAGTCCTCAGGTCAAGAAGCGAATGTGGTGAGTGGCTGGACAGCATGGAACGAAGTTGACGATCAAGAAGAATGAAAAGACAGAAACGATGAAGAAGAAAGAGACTGCTGTGGAAACATCTAATGCATTCTCTGTGCTACCCGACGAATGTGAGTCGACTACTGGGAACTTCACGACGAACGACAACGAGGAAGGTAAGAATATTGTTGTTATTGGGGATAGCCAGGTTAGATACATGGATAGGGCATTCTGCTTGAAGGACAGGAGTAGGAGACAGAGGGTTTGCTTTCCTGGGGCTGGGATGGAGGATATTGTTAGCCGGCTTGACAACATCATGAACGGTAATGGGATCAATCCTATTATTTGCCTCAGTGCTGCAGGCAATGCTGTAGGCAAGCGTAGAAGTGAGGATTTGGTTAGAAAGTTCAGGACAGCGATAGACATAATTAGGAAGAAGGGGGGGGTGCCCTGTTATATGTAGCATTTTGCCAAGAAGAGGTGTTGGTAATGAATGGTTATCCAGAGCAATTGGTATTAATTGTTGGCTGGATAAACACTGTAAGGATAATGCAGTACCATTCATTGACAACTGGGACAACTTCTATGGCCAAAATGACATGTATGCCAGAGATGGGGTTCACTTACCCAGGGCAGGTGTGGGTTTTTTTGCTAGCTCAGTTGAGGGAGTTGTTAGGACTTTAAACTAGGATTAGTTAGAGGTATGGGTTTAGAAATGATAAATAATGAGTATGGATATATTGACTTATGCTCTGATATTAAGAATCTTAATAGTAACTGTCATGGAGTAACTCTGGGTAATGATAATTTCAGAAATTGTGTAAAAACAAAGATGAATAGGAAAAATGTGCAGAAGAAAAAACATATGATGGTATTTTATGCTAACAGTCGAAGTGCAAGAAATAAAATTAATGAATTACGTTTGGTAGCATGTGTTGGGAACTTTGATAACATTGCATTAACTGAAACGTGGTATGATTTAAAGAGTCGGGATATGATTGCTGAGTGTAATATTCAGGGATTTAAGTTGTTCCATGTGGATAGATGTAATGGGAAAGGGGGAGGAGTTGCATTATATGTTCGAGAAAATATTAATTGTTGCATAAAAATAGGTATAAAAATAGATGGAACAGTAACAGAATCTGTTTGGGTAGAGTTTGTAGAGGGTCAAGAAAAACTAATTCTAGGTGTAATCTACCGACCTCCAGGCTTGGATCACGATAGAGGGAGACTTCTTCAGGACGAAATTGTTAGGGCTTCTAGAAACAATAACATAGTCATAGTAGGGGACTTTAACTTTAGTCAAATTGACTGGAATTCTTTGACAGGTAATCTAGAGTCCAGTGACTTTATGGAAACAGTTCAGGACTGTTTTCTGAAGCAGTGCATAACAGAGCCTACCAGGGGTAATAATTTGCTAGACCTAGTCTTGTCAAATAAGGAAACACTCGTGAATAATCTGGAGGTCACTGAAGAGCTTGGCGCAAGTGATCACAAATCCATCACTTTTAGCATTAACTGGGAATGCAAGAATAATGATAATACAGTAAAAATCCCTGATTTCCGTTCTGCCGACTATAATGGACTTAGGGAACACCTGTCTAATCTTGATTGGGGTTATCTAGCTAATGATTTTATTGATGGTCATACTTACGATTATGAAGGGATCTGCATTTATGATTTTTTTCTTAATAATGTACACCATGCCCAGAGTATATACATTCCCCAGAGAGATATTAGGTCTAATAATTTTTTTTTTTTTTTTTTCAACAAGTCGGCCGTCTCCCACTGAGGAAGGGTGACCCAAAAAAAGAAAAAAATCCCCAAAAAGAAAATACTTTCATCATCGTTCAACACTTTCACCACACTCACACATTATCACTGTTTTTGCAGAGGTGCCCAGAATACAACAGTTTAGAAGCATACACATATAAAGATACACAACATATCCCTCCAAACTGCCAATATCCCAAACCCCTCCTTTAAAGTGCAGGCATTGTACTTCCCATTTCCAGGACTTAAGTCCGACTATATGAAAATAACCGGTTTCCCTGAATCCCTTCACTAAATATTACCCTGCTCACACTCCAACAGATCGTCAGGTCCCAAGTACCATTCGTCTCCATTCACTCCTATCTAACACGCTCATGCACGCTTGCTGGAAGTCCAAGCCCCTTGCCCACAAAACCTCCTTTACCCCCTCTCTCCAACCCTTTCGAGGATG